TCGGTTCTGGCAACACCGTTTTGTTTTCCTTCTGGAATTTTGCCGGGAAGCTAACCGCCCCCGGTGCGCCAGGTGTCGTTTGTTTAACCTTTTTTTGGGCGAAATTCGCCCCCCCCCCGAGGCGTTTCTTACCTTGTGTTCGACGCGCCCGTTGTAGGTCGTGTTGCGACCGCCGGCCACGATAAAAAACGAAGAAATAACATATTTTCTGGTAGGTGCCGCAGATGGGATAAGGGGTGCTCGGTGCGGCTATTCGCCTTAAGACGGTGTCAACCAACCGCCGTTGTGCGCACTATGGCGGGAAAGCGGGTCTATCCTGCACGTTGTTTTCAAATTTTGTTGGAATCGGGCGGGGAGCGGGGTTCCTTCCCCCTGGCTGTGTGCCTTCGGGCTGTACGCCCCCCCCCCCTCCCCCTCCCCCCGACCATAAGCCTTAGGAACGCTAGATAGTGTCAGATGTTCGCGTGCACATGGAACACAATCCGCTATCAAACAACGAGAGGCAAGAGCAGTATACATATACGGCGACCCGCTCCTGGCATGCTTCACCAAACGCTGCAACCGATCGTTTTTTATCGCGAAACTGCTGTTGAGCGGGACAGCGTGGGGATGCGCCTTTGTTGTAGGGCGGAATACGCCATGGTCCAGAGGGGTGTGTCCAGAACACAGACGTGCCTCATAGTGGTATGTGAACAACGATCATGGACAAAAACCCTTGACAATCAAACGGTGTCCATAAACACAGCAGTTGTTCCTTCGTGATAATGAGTGGTTTTTAGTGTTTTGCGCCGCATGCAAGCCCTCGACCAGACCTGACGTGAAGATATGACATGGCCCGGCGGCTGGGCGGTGATGCAACTCTGGCACTGGATCGTGGAAACCGCTACCTATTCACCCCCCCTCCTCCGCCCCTTCCGCCCCTTCCGCCCCCTCCGCCCCCTTCTTTCTCCCTGCCCTGGCGTGATGCGTAGATGGTATTATAGTCAAAGTCTAACGACGGCAACAAAATTCTTCTCTTGTACTCTTTCATGTTGAGACAAACACGCTTGAACCCCACCACAACGACAAACATAGCACCTGATTCTACAGGTACAGAACGCATCTTTCATCTTTTCGCCGGCGTTTCGCTACCCGCCCCTCGATATAGAACAAACACCAAAACCTCATTGATTGTGAATAGATGGAATCGGCCTCTGCAGCCGTCGGGGAGATGACACCCTTTGTACACGCCGCCTCCGCATTGTTGCGTCCCCCCCCCCCCCCCGTTTTTACGAGCCCTCTCTTGTTGATTGTTATTAGAGGGAATCATCCTCGACAAACGTTGGTTTACGGAGATGGGACCCTTCTTAAAGGTCACCTCCACATCAACGTTGATAATACGATATACCTCTTCAATACGAGACAGCCAGAAAAATAGAAGCAAGCATGATTGCGCCGCACGCATGTTTTTTTGCAACTTCTTGGCAGTAGCGGGAAAACGCTTTCAAAAGCCAAAGCTATACAACGAACGACTTTCAAAAACAGTTATTTATGTTGCTATACATGCATGCGTGTATCGGTCATGCTACCCCCATGGTGATGTTGCTCGAACCACCGACACACATGGCGCAAACCTGCGCCCGAAGACAACTACCTACAATGTGTGGTGGTGAAAAGGAATATATATAGAGGACTCCAAGATTCACGACAAGACGATAATAGCTAAGGAAAAGAAACATAGACTGCTATACACACTGAAAGCAAGACACGATCGCTCACAGCAGCAGTAGAAACCCAGCAACATCGACTACTCCCCTCCCTTCACCTCTGAGCAGGCTAGAAAAGATGAACTTGCTTGCGATGGTACCCGACAACAAGTGTCATCGCAAAACAATAAATAAATAAGAGACCCGCCAAGCAGGAGTAGACTGCAAATAACTCCCTCCATGCAACGAAAACAATCAGACAAGACGAAGCAAGAAATACCTACCCAGACAATCGATCCCTGGGCATATTCTGATGTGTTTCTCTCTCTCTACAGTAGCACAGGAGGAGAGTACAGACCTTTCGGTGACAAACGGGTCTAAGTTGAGTACGCTCGTACCAAATACTTCCTCAACGTGACAAGAATCAGCAAATTTTTTTTATGTGGAACAGCCTTCTGGATATATATGTACACAAGAAGCAGAAGTAGCTAAATAGTTCCACGACGCCAACCACATGATGAGTGAACAAACGGCACCAAATTTATACCAAGGAAGAAAGTTCGCCCCCCCCCCCTGGCATCCCCCCCACTCGGTGTTTGCCATCGGGATTGGGTTTTCGTCGCTTGGCAACGACGTTGTAAAACAAGCCAATTCACTTCGTGAACTCGGCAACCAGGTTACCGTTTTTTTTTTTTTTTACCTCGGTTTTTTTTTTTGGCGGGAACCAAAATGGTGGTCGAGTAAATCATGTTGTGCGGGGTCGAAAACCCTCACTCCGCGCAACGGGGGATGATCGCACCACGTTGTGTTAAAATGGTCAAGCACCCTCGAGGCAGTTACACAGTGCTTACAACTGTCTCTGGAAGTGAAAGCACCAAAAAATAAATTAAGTCATACGTAGCTGTCATCCGTACGCAAGGAAGTAAGCACAAGATGCCGAACACCCTTAGCAGGATGCAGCTCACCCTTCATGCGACTCGCCAAATACCTCACGGCGCTTCCCGCTTGGTGATGTGAGAGCCTGGTCCGGTGAAAACCCGGCGTGCTCCGTCCCGGCTTTGTAGGGATGCGAGGTCAATGGTCAAACGACTACGGCATGCACGACTATGAGTACACCCCCCCCCCCCCCCCCC